CAATTTTATATTAATGCTTAACAAGTTAACTAAATTGGCATAATCAGAGTTTTTATATGAAATACACATCAAGTATTTAATGTAACAAATAAATTAACAGAAAAATTTCTGGAAAAGTTTAAAAAAATTAGAACATATGACTCTGATCAAAAATCATTCGCGTTGACACTGCATTTGTATGGGCATAAGGCATATGATTATCTTTGGACAAATGGCTTACATCTTCCTCACACTAGGAAAGTAATCTTGTCATACCTGTTCAATAATTTTAATAAGATTGTTTTAAATAACTATTCTCAATGTCATTTTATTAACACTACATTAAAAGGTGGCTACAAAACATTGATGGTATGCCTGGGGTGATTTCTACAAACCTTATTGACTAATGGTGATGGGGAACCTTTGGAACTGTAGGATCATGACATTCAATCTAGTCATGGATTGAGAAATCAATCCTTGATATATTTGATAACAAACATTTATTATAATATAAGAATGATTTAAGATGTAGGTGTAAGGCAAAATCTTACTGGAACTATTATTTTTAGCAATTTATGACTTTATCCATTTTCAATGATACCGATATTTTTAATTATTATTATCCAAATTATACTCATGCCTATATAAATTAATTTGATTGTGGCTATTTCTATGCTTAATCATTTTATTTACTTGCCATAGGTATGCACAGCATTTAATAAATTAATGATAATAATTAATAACACAACATTCGAAGTGCATAAAATATAATAAATTAAAAGTACAATTTTTACAAACCTCATTGGTTATGGTGATGGGGATTCTTTAAAACTGAATGATCATGATCTAACAAGTCATGGATTGATGAATCACTGGAATCACACATTATCTTTAATAAATTTAATAACAACATGTACTACAATTTAAGAATGAGGAATATTTTGTAAAACATTAAATGAAAAAAAATTTAGTTTGAATCACTCATAATTAATAAATTTTAAATTGCAATGTAGCTTGCGGAGTTTGAAGCTTGAATTGAACAAATTACAAAATTGTTTATTTTATAAAATTGATTGATAAGTTGTTTAATATATTTATTTAATTTAGTATATTTTTTTATTCCCAGACCTAAGCATTGTAAATAAAAATTTTAAAACCAATCAAGCAATAGAATTTAGGATCTTAGGAACAAGTGCTGTTAGTGCTGTTAACTGTAGTGGTTGGTAGTTCCTAGTAGTCTAATCTGATAATGTTTGTTAGTGTTATCTGTTATTTATTTCAATTAGTAATTAGAATCAGTAGAGTTTAGTTTTAGCTTAATTATTAGTTTAGTAATTTAATTACTAATTAGTCGTCGTTTAGTGTTGTTACAGTTAATCGTTAATGAGTTAAAATTTAACTGTTAAATAAAACAAGTGTTGTTGGTGGTTCACAAAAAATTTTTTTTATTTAAAATGCAAAAAGATACTTAACCGTCATACAGCAATATCTATTTTAAAACAGCATCTAGTATCACCTTTTAAAACATTTTGAAATTTTAAATAAAAGCAATACTCCGAAATTAGTAAACATACAATCGCAACTTTTGACTTGGGCGATAAAAAATCACCCTCCAATTTTCCTCCGGAAGTAAGCTCCTTGTTCGACCGTCAAAAATGAGCGAAGGCCGTTATATTTATTCTAATTATATGAATTAAATATAGTTAAAATATCAATTTATAATTACGATACAACTTTCTTTTATAACGCATATTTTATTATATATATTTATTGAAAGGCATCTATGTATACATAAATCCACTTTTAGTTGTTTAATTTATTTAACATCACATCCCTGCTTACAGTTGCGGCACCAACCTTTCTTACATTTCTAAATCGCTATTTAAAATTATTTATTAAATCAAAGGTTCTTTTTTAAAAATTTCTATTCGATTGATGCAACAACAGAATGTTGAACTCGCAGACGTTTAACGATGCGTTGGCGGCTGTAAGTTTTTTGGAAAACTATTTGGACAACATGGACTATTTGCCGTCAGAAGTGCAACGACATATTACTATTTTCAGGGAAATTGAGTACCAGTGCAAAGGTGCGCGTTTGTTTGTTTGAAGATTGATTGATCGTTCAAGCGATGATTAATAATTATTTGTGAATATTAATTGAGTGGACTTTCTAGTCTAGTCTTTTTTGAAATTTATAAAATAAAGTTTGATTTTTCTCTTCAAATTTAGTTTAGTATTTACTAGTTTTAGTTTAGTTTAGTTTAGATTTATTTTAAGTTTTTCAGTCTTCTTTACCAGACAATCAAGATTTTAATTTAATTTCGTCAACTCAAGTTTAGCTTGAATATCAGTTTTAAATCTATACAATAAAATTACAATAATAATTTAAAAATCATTTTTATTGTACTAGTTAACTAACAAAATATTTTCTATTTATATTTCTAGCCCCTAAGTTATTAAAGAAAAATTAATTGTAATTGTTCAATTATTAAAACATTTCAGAAGTAATGACAAAATTATTAGTTGAGGGCGAAACCTACAAGTCATCATCTGATGTCTTGATCAAGAAGCAAGCAATCAATCAGATCAAAAAGTTGCTCATCAGACAAAAAGACCTTGGCGATCAGAAGTTGGAGATTTTGTCCACAATTTATGAATTAGTTGAAAATAATTCAAGATCATTAGAAGACAGCATGGCCAATCTTGGTTTGTTATTTGTTGAAACTACAAGAAACAAAAAAATTAAATTGGGAAGTCTTGACTAAAACCTTTTTTGCTATGTTTTATTATCTTGCTTCATTAATGAATTTTAATAATGAAAATACTAACTAACCCAATGCTAGAATCTGTTCAAGGTCTTCCATCCCATGTAAAAAACGAAGAGAAAAGCTTCTTTCCATCAGTCGCTCCGTCAGCATCGATGGCCACATCATCGGCAGGCTGCTCATCTCACCAAAAATCAGCTGCAGACAACAACAACTTCAACACTACCCACAATACCAACAACAGTACCAACAACAACAGCAGCAGCAGCAATAACAGCCATGCAACAACGTTATCCACACGTGCATCCACTAGCAGCAACTTCAAACCGGATGATAAACAGGACAATGGGAAGACTAAGAGACATCGACAGGCCAAACGATCAGCAAATCACGAATCGTATGCTTCTGCTATGAAGGAGGAAGAGAAAAGAGTCGGTTTACATCTTTATTAATTATATCAATAACTTAATTTGATTTGTAAGAACCTTGTATGAGTGCATGAAAGGCTGAGAACAAATTTGCGGCTGTTGAAATTGTCTGGATATTGGAATCTGATTTATGTTTTGCATAATTTTAATTTTAGGACGAAGAGGAAAAAAGTAGGAAGAAAAAGACAAGAAGAGAGAAGATGGACAAGTCATCACTGATGATGGCTGCCAACAATAGTCACCTCGTCAAAATCATTGGGAACATTGATCCTAACGAACCGCTGTATTGTCTCTGCAGGGAGGTTGGTTGGACAGTTGGCTGAATTGTTAGTCATTTGATTGTCTGGTTGTTTGGCTAGTTGGTAGTGGTCAGCTGAAGAGAAAGATTTTGATGTTGAGAATGCTGAAGGTGATGTGATAATACTGATTACACCGATGACGATGACGTCACAATACTTCTAGGTGTCCTATGGCGAGATGATTGGTTGCGACAACGAGAGTTGTGAAGTTGAATGGTTCCACTTCCACTGTGTCAACCTCACTCACAAACCTAAAGGTTTCAATTTGACTGTTTCATTTTGTGGTGATTTGTATCTATTTGCATCTTGTTTCATGATGCTCCTTGTGTTATCATTGCTTAAATTAAGTGTATTATATTTAAAATCAATATGTTCATTATCCACTGATAATAGTTATAAGAATTTTCTAGATATCATTCATTGTATGTAATTACATTCTTATTTGATCACTAACTGCAACATTTCAAAATTTGCATAGAAGCTATTTACATTGTGACAAAACATCCACACGCGTGTAACTAAACAGTGCATTACATTCACACGTATATGTAGCAACACAACTACACATAACAACTAATCACGCAGGCAAATGGTTTTGTCCGTCTTGTAGAGGCGACCGACAAAGCGTTCTCAATCCTGAACTTCTGGAGCAGAGGAAGGCCAAGAAGAATGCCGTCATGGCCATTGCTGCCGCTGCTGCCAGCAACAACAACGCCACTAGCGATTGAAGGATTCATATTGTGATGGATTAATTTCTTGATTTGGTGATTGATTTATTAACCGATTGATTTGTTGATTGATGAAGGGGCAAAGACAAAGGTGAGGGTTGGAAGGGAGATGTCGGATGATTTGGTGATTGATTTATTAACCGATTGATTTGTTGATTGATGAAGGGGCAAAGACAAAGGTGAGGGTTGGAAGGGAGATGTCGGACTACTGTTAAGGTAGGAGTACATCAAGGATCAGGTGGAAAAGGACAGGGTGAAAGCGGGGTTGCGTGATACTGAGGCGAGTGACAGATGTGGATGGCGTCGAGGGGTATTTCGGTTTCATCATAGGTAGCCAAACGGCAACCCCCGATCTCGGGGAAAATGTCGTCTAAACGTGTGTTGTTGTTGTTGATTTGTTGATTGATTGGTTTGTTGATTGGCCTGTGTATGGAATATGGGAATTTCGCTTGATCATGATCATGTCATATTCCATCAGTACAATCGATTCCTCGCTCGTTCTTACTCTTTCCACATCTTCTGTTGTTTATTCATTTCTACCGTTTGTATTGTAATAAAAGTGTACAGTTCTCAAGCTTTTATTCATTTGTATTCTTTTATTATATTATTAGTAGTAGTAATAGTTGCATTAGTAGCATTATTATTATTATTATTATTATTATTATTATTATTATTATTATTATTATTATTGAAGATATATAGAACTAAAAAGTTAAAATGGAAAGGTTAGGTACACTGTTTCTGTCTAACTTGTTCGAAACGATCTTAGCTTGGCTAATACCTACATACATATTTCTTGTGTTTTCAGAGTGAAGGACTTTATATCCGAAAGTTTATTTACAACTAATTTAGCCATAACATATAAGTGACCAAAATATGCAGTCAGTACAACCATTCGATACCGAAAAATTAATCAAAATATCTTTGGTAATTTAGGGTTTTTTAATAAGCTGAATCATTTCTTTATTACACATACGTACAGCGCTGTATTTTTTTACTACAAAGTGTTTTTTACTAAAAAGTTTGGGTTTTGTGGAGGTCGATGGTCGCCAATGTCCTGAAAGGTTATGGCACGAGAAAGAAGAAGAAGCAGCATTGTAGTTTCGTAACTTATTACCGCAAAAATGGTTCAATCAACATCGTTATGTCGGTTGTTACATTTATCACGTGCATGATAACAAATATGATAGATATCACAACAAATATGATACATATCACAACAAATACGATAGATATCACAACAAATGTGATAGATATCAAAGATGATTTCAAGTTAAAGTTCAATATTAGCGAACTGAATGGATTGCCTAACAAAATGTTTATGGTTGACAGTTGGATAAATTTGTGAGGTCAAAATTTTTTTAATATGATTGATATGGATTAATGAATGTAAAATTTCTCTCGTGTCTTTGGCGGCACCGGCTTGTTTGTAAACAGAACAAGGCCTTGATATTCGGATAGGTTCGTAAATGTTTTTTTTTTATTTTTTCAATCACGTCTTCATTTAATTTTATGCACCAAAAACAAGTTTCAATTTATGAGAAATATGTTGACTTGTTGAGTAACCCACATTTGGAGATATTTTGCAAACATACGTATTGGAGCATTTTTAACTGGTTTGACTTTGAAGACATTAGCAACAAATTTCACTGCATTTTTTATTACGAACTAAATACGCTATTTCCAAACTATGAATTAGAATTAGACTTAGGACAGATTTGTGGTTTGGATTTGGCTAGAATCGTTAGTTAGAGGCTAGAACTAGAGATTAAATTAACTAACAATTTAGTTAGTATTATTTGATCAGACCACTTGTTTTTGTATTAAAAAAGATTATTTTAAAATAAAAATTTGCAAAATAGCCAATTAGGATGCGAACTGTTGTGAAGTTGGCCACGATTGAGATGCAAGAATATTAAGATGGGGCGTCGGTTGGCATCGCTGATGTAAACTTTGTATATATATATTTTGCTTATCATGTCACTTTTTGGTCGGTTTTATTCGAAAAACGGTGTTTCTCTTTTGTAGGAACTTTGTTTTAATGACTTATTACCAATTCTGCTCACAATAAGCCCTCCTAGATCCGTCACTACTTGTGAGAAACCTCTAGAATTTCTATGATTGGCGTGTATCTAATGTACAACACACTTTTATTGATTTTAATCGCCGTAACCAAACACATGATATGAGTCAATTCAATTACAAAACCTTAGGTAGACGTTTTTTCATTCCTAAACAAATTTTGTAAATGATTCCTGGACAGAAATTTCAGAAAAATCTTATTCTAAATTTTTTTAGCTGATGATCAGTTTTTGCTTTTATCGTGTCCACTTCACGTTGATTACTCATTATTTGCTATACTTACACCACATCAATACAATTCGTTTTCAAAACTGCAAATGATACAAACTGATTCGTTAAAAAATTTCAAATTTTACTGAAAATATTTCTTTTTTTTACCTTAGTATGTCGCCAGTCAGTCGAGCAGCAGATTTCATCCGAAAAAACATTGTGATCATTCTGGTCATTCCTCCCATTGTGGCCGCAAGTTTTGGAATTTACGCCAACATGTTTCGACCCAAACGTTTACCGACCACGCAAAATGGTTCCGAACTATATCCTGCTGTAGTAGACAAGGAGCTGTTGACTGATAAATAATTTTTCGGCATTTGCATGAGTTGTCTTTTTTTTATATCATGAGGTTTGTGTAAATATTACAGTCGATCGTCAACATTTGAATTTATTTTTCAACTTGTTCAATTTATCAAATCAAAATAAATTTTGCAAAAAATGCCCACAAAATGTAAAGGCCGCTAGGCACTACGACTATTTTCTTAGTGTTAACGCGTCAACAAAGATATTCAGATGTGTAAAATTTTACATTCTCTCAGAAAGCTCGTCAAAAACATTGTCTAACTAACGGCTTTCTTCGTTCTTTTTACATTTTCAGTTTTCAATTTAAATAAAAAACTTATTTGAGTACGGCTTTGCTTGAATTTTTTTCTTTTATCTGAATTGCAATGATAGAACTGATATTTAAATTTGCTCGAATACCTTCGCGTTCTTAAAACCAGACAATCATTGTTACGATATTTAAACGAAACGCGATTCGAATGCAATTGTATCATCTAACCTAGCCGATTGAATTATGTCAGGTTAGTCCTGATTTTCATCGACAACGCGCATGTATATTTTATGCGAGTGTGTATGGCATGCACTGGCTAAATAACTGATTTACTTAGTTTGGGTTTTTCCGTTTAAGTTTTACTTAATGTTGTTTATTTAAAAAGTTTACTGATGTTCAACATAGGAAATGAACTCCGAAGTTTGTATATAGTTGAAGAATTTTGTATTATTGCAGGTTGTGGTATAACTTCATGATTGGCATTCCGTTCGTAGATGACGTTTTAACGACCAATAGAAAACTTTGTTCACAACATGGCAGTGCTCTCAGGCAACAAATATATATTTTTAATATATTCATGATACGCCGAAGTAAATTCCTGTTAAAAATATTAATTTATCAAAACTCCTGACATTTGCTCGAATTTGAAAATTTTTCATTTGTATTTTAACCACGCCTTTTTTTCGTTTTCATATTGATGAAACCAGTCTATTTTGACTAATGACTGAGCTTCAAGTCAAATGTTTTTCGATGAAATTCTCTATTGCTTGTCTACGATTTTTCATCAAATATATTTGAATATTATTTTTCAACAATACAGACATTTATATTTTATAGTTGAATTGAAGTTCATATGGTTACTCTGTTAAATTGATGCTTTTCCATTGAACTTCTAACGTTCCGACCTAACGTTAATTAAAGTTTTTCTGTTAAAGTCATTCATAAAACATATAAGCTTGTGAATTTAAGGTAAAAAAACTAGCAAGCTATAAGAAGCTTCATTTATGGGATCACGAAAGAACTGAGACTTGGCTACGGATGTCCTGTCACGAAATAATAACAAAATACGAGCAAGAATTCAGAAAACATCACATCGACGGTCAGTGACGAACGATCAATGTTTTTTCCAAGTCTCATAAATTTTCCTAAATTAAATGAGATTTATTGGTTAAAAATTTAAGGTCTAATTTGTACCAAAAATACCAACTATAATACTATGTGATATAACTTTATCGTATCGTGTTGATTCCGAGATTGTAGGATGCTTTTTGTGAGTATCTTCAGAGGCACTATGTATAAATCAAAATCAACTCTTCTCTCTAGCTATGTCTCTGACTTCTGATTTTATTTTTACTTGGATGTTGTTTTCAATTTATAATTACGTTTCGTAGGACGGGTGCTGATGCAATTAAATGACAAAAAGCTGAGACAGATTGGAATAACGTCTTCCAAAGACAGGCATGCTTCAATTTTAAATTTGGTTTTAAATTAAACCAATTCTTAAGTAAAACTTGTAAATATAGATGTAAAATTGATGCTTTCGTGTAAATCCAGAGATTACATATTAGGCCAAGTCCTGAAGTTGAGAATCAAAGTAAAAACCCACGAACTTGAAAAATTAGACACCAATTCTGAAAGTAAATACTAATTCTATACATTACTTATAAGTTATCTATTTTAACGTTCTCATTGTAATATTGATTGTTGTCCTGTGTTGTATAAGGTTTAATGAAACGGTTGTTCACATTTTATTTCAGTTCAAATTATTAATTGTATTAATTCATTTTGCAGGTACAGATGGCTCTAATCCTTCACTATTAAATGAAAAATAAATTGTTTGGTTGCCGTTGTTTATACAATTGAAAACATTTCTACATTTTCTGGTCATATTATTGTTGTTTAAAAAGATTTTTCGATTTAAACATTTTTTACGCCTTATTTTTTATATAAAAAAAGGACTACTATGACATAAATCATTTGTTAATTACCTACATATTAAAATTGTATCAACCTGTAAAAAATAATGCGTCTTAGCAACAGGTTGTTTGCTGATGTTATTGATTTAGTGAACTGACTGACAATCATTAAATTTTAACAAGGTTGAAACGTTTTACTCATACCTGTTTTTAAGAGCAACGTTGGTTGCAGCTGTCTAGTTTAAACTTTTTAGGGGTTAGTTGTTACAGTTTAATCATGTCAAGTTCAAAAACACCTTTTTCTATTAACCGAAACATTTTAGAATTTTTAGAAAATCGTTTGTAGCTTTTAAAGAATTTTTACCGGATTTTTAATATTTTTATAATGAACAGTTTATGGCAACACTGCAAATGTTATTTTCTACACGCATAAACGACGAGATGTTAGTCAAACAATAATAGTAATAATAATAAACTTACTCTTCTCCTTCTTCTTGACTTTTCCTCTACTTTTGATACTGTTGATCATACTATTCTCTTGAGGCTAATAAATCATTCTTTCAATATTTTGATTCTTGTCTATCTTGGTTTTCTTCTTGTCTCTGTAATCGTTTTTCTTCTGTTGTTCTTAGTAGTTCTACTTCTAACTCCTCTACTCTTACTATTGGTAACCTCAGGGTTTTATCTTTGGCCCTCTTCTATTTATCCTCAAGAATTCGGAACTACCCCCTATCATTAATAATTTTTCTTTCACTAGTCAAATATATGCTGATGATATTTATATAGGTACTTCTTACTTCTTTTCCTCCATCTAATCTCAATAGTTTTCGTAATAATCTATCAGTTATCGATTGGTTTGACTCAATGTGTCTTAATCTTAATTCTTCTAAATTTGAATTAATTTGTTTTAATAAATCTAAACGCTCTATTACTATTCCTTCTATTATCATACCTGATTCTAAAACTTTCGATGCTTCTCATAAGTGTCGTAGTCTAGGCTTTATCTTTGATTTTAGCATGTCTCTTTCTTCTCAGATTAATAGTGTTGATAGAAATTCTTACTTTCATCTGCGTAGAATAAAAAAACTTTTGCCTTTTCTTGACGATCCTACTCTTCTCCTTCTTGTTACTTCTTTAGTTTTATCTACTATGATCTTCCAGATTCTACACTCTATCCTTAAATTAAAGCTGTTATCTCTGCTGCTCGTCTAGCTGCACGTACCCCTTCCTTTTCTCAATTTTTTACATTCATTATCCAATAGACACACATAACGATTTTATATTTCAAATTTAGTTTATATATAATTTTATTTTTTTTTTAGAAGATTTATCTTCAATTTGTTATAACAAACGCAAACTTAATATGTGATTCACTTATCATTTCATACATATCATACTCCACAGCTCATATTATATAATTTATATTTATTATATTATACTATACATACACCTATATTTATTATATTATTATCACATATGTACAAGATGTATTAACACATGATGAACACTATTAATTATTATACATAATATTAAACATGTATGTATTTTAATATAATATATATATTTCTTTATGTTATATATATATTTATTATATATAGTATACTAAATATAATTATATAGTATTTATATATATTATGTATATATATATATATATTTATATTTATGTATATATGTTGTCAGCTTCTAATATGTCACAATTTCACAATAAATATGAATGTCAAAAACTACGCTGTGTTGAGTCCATAATAAAAAAGTTGATAAATGCAAAATGGGCAAATAAATTTAACCAAATATATATATATAAATTATATATAGTGTACATCAGCGTCTTCATTTGTACACGAAAAGACGTTTGTTGTACATTTGTTTATGTCCTATGGTGTGCAATTCTGATCTGATCATTTTTTTCTTTGACTGAAACGATGCGAATTGTTTTGGCTTTTTTCTCATTTTAGTTGCAATTATTTAATAAATTTTATCGCTCTAGATAGAAGATTTTTAAAAAAATCAAATCATTTATTAATTTTAATTGAGTTTTTTTTATTAATGTTAAATTGTTAAGTTGTTAATTAAATTAAAAATTATAATATGTTCAATTGTAAAACTGTAAAATTGTAAAACTGTAAAAAAAGTAAATGGTTCCCACTCTTTTTAAAAAAATTAGATTAGAAAAGGTTAAATAAATTACAATTAAAATTAATAATAAATAAATTTAAATAGTAAATAAAATAAAAGTTGATTTGATATATTTTTTCAATTCTTGGTGACCATCAGATTTATTCAGATTGGTTTTCAATTTAGTTAGAAATTCAAATTAGTCAATTAATTAAATTGCAAAAGCACTGGATAAGAAGTTATTAAAAAAGGGATCAGTCAGACAGGTTCGACAGATCATCATTGCCTCTCCTCCTTCATGTCTGTTGCTGGCAAACTGAGAAATATAAAATTTAAAAATGAATGACGAAGATGTCTTGTTTGAAAATATTTATGACATGGCTGAGGTCTTGGGAAGGTTTGTTTATTTTTATTATTTGACTCAGTTTTTTTAAACAATTTTTTTTATATGACAGTTATTCAAAAATTATTTTCAGTTTATCCTTCTTTAATCTTGTGGGTATTTAATATTTATTGAAATGTCAATGTCAAATGAAAATTAATGAAACACCAAATAATCATTCTCTAAAAAATGAATAGTATGTTGTGTATGAACAACGTGCATGTGACATTAAATTTATATAATGATAAATTTAAGAATTGATAAATCAGGAATTATTTAATTTATTGTTTTTCAGAGGTCCATTCAGTAGCATTCGAAGGTGTATCAACAAGCAGACAGGAAACAACTTTGCTGTCAAGATCACTGATGTTTCCAAACTGAAAACCTCTCCTGGATTCGGCATTGAAGGTTTTATTTATCTCTTACCAAATAATCTTATATTTAATTTCAATAATTGGTAATGGTTCGATCTAAAAAAGATGATAAATTAATAACCATTCAAAAATATTTACATGGGTCAAGCCACTTCAATGATTTTAAGCTTTCAATTTCATTGTTAGATTGCATGCATATTTATATTAGTTAATTTATTTCATCTTGAATGGTTAAAATTGAACTAAGTAATATTTAAAGTTTTGTAATATTTTAGTAGTGTTACTACTTAATATAAGTAGTACTATTTACTAGACTGCATGCCTGAGCTAGTTTATTTGAATGAACGAAATTAAAGATCTGAAGCGAGAAGCCACCATATGTCACATCCTAAAGCACCCACACATCGTTGAACTGTTTGAAACCTACTGCAACGAAGGGACCATATACATGGTTTTTGAATTGTTAGTTAGCAGTACATGTTGAAACGTTCATGTCTATGTTGTTTTATTTTTTGCTACAAGACTTATTTTTTATTTTGTGATAATCATTTAAATGTTTTTTTCCCACAATTTGGTATTTTTAATACATTCTATGTTTGTTTCATTTATTTATTTGGATGTTATAACTATACTGTCAGATGAAAATTAAACTTGAAGTAAGTGTAATTTATGTACCATATTTATTTATTTATGTAATTATTTATCCAAATTCATTTCTAAATATTTCTGAATATTCATTTCTGAATTCATTTCTAAATATTATGACATACGAAAAATAGTCCAAAACAGCAGTATATATATACATCATACCACATACGTTATAAACGGTTAGATAGATATGGTTTTGATCATTTCAGACATTGTTTTAACTCCTTTTTCATTAATTTGAATTAAAAAATATGAGTTAAAAAAATCGAATTAGCTAATACGCGATGGCATTGGTTCAAATGCCTAGCTGGATTGTGGAGAATAGAAATTTAATTATTCCCCTTGCAGTATGGATGGCGAGGACTTGCTGTTTGAGATCGTGAAAAGGGCAAGGGCTGGCTTTGTGTACAGTGAAGCTGTTGCTAGGTTCGTTCTCATTTGATTTCAATTTCATTGTTGGTTGGCTTATTGATGAAATGAATGAACGAATGAACAAGCGAATGAATGAATGAATGAATGAATGAACGAATGAATGAATGAATGAACGAATGATTGTTTTATTTGTTGATTGATCAGCTGGTTTTTTTATGGAATTTTTTTTAAAAGTACAATATGTTGAGAACTTTGTGGAGAATAGCTCTCAAACTCATCTCTTCAATTTTAGATGTTTCAATTAACGTTTGATTTCATAATGTCAAATACATCTGCCTCACAATTGTTCATTGTTCTTAAGTTTATCCAGTCGCTGTACAATTTTCTATTAAATTATTCACATAAGAATTTCATTGATATAATAGAATGATAGAGCAATTGATTATGTTAACACGAACAGAGCATACAACAAACTTCTCAAAATGACTTTTCGTCACATTTGATTAGCACACATTACAATAGAACGTACCGCGTTAATATAAATTACCATAACTCTCCCATAATTTTTTAACTCTTTAGCGATTAGTTGAGTCGACATAAGCAGAGTGGGTTAATAATTACGCTTTAAGTTACATTAATTCCCTAAAAACACTTGTAACTTGTTTGACTTTCTTTAATAAAAATTTCAAATCTCAATCACTCCATCTCATTCTGATCGGATTTATCTTTTAAAATAATGTGGTATTAACCAAATGATCTGAAAAAAAACTTGTGTATTACCACTCTGTATGTCAGTGTGGTATGGTATAAGAACAGAGATATCGTTGAAAACATTTTTGACATTAAAGAGCAGACTGTTCAACGCGCGTAATAATTGAATTGAGAGGCAGACAAACATTTGCATTGGTGAGTAAAGTGAGAGTGCTTCCATCTATCTACTTCAATGAATCATTCATTGACCATAGCTGCTGCGGTTGCTGTCGTTGCAGTTGCTGCCATGGCTACTTCCACTGCTGCTGCTGCTGTATTAAAAAACGTCACGAAAATGTTGTTAATTAATAATTATGTATTTCGCTTAACTTTAAGGGGATAATTTTTACATTTTTGCTGACCATCTAACAGTCAAGATCTTTTAACAATTTAAACACAAAGACCACTTACACACTACACTTACCACCACTCAAACAACCACACCAACTCCACACACACCACTTTACAACACAACCACACCAACCACACACAGCCACTACATGCGACAAATCCTTGAGGCCATTAGATACTGCCACAGCAACGACATCATTCACAGGGACATCCGCCCCCACTGTTTGCTTCTTTCCAGCAAGGAGAACTCGGCCCCAGTAAAGGTAGGAGGGTTTAGGGCTGGCGTGCAATTAAATGCCGGAATGAAGATAGTCAACAAAGGTATTTTTATAATTATTTATATTTTTATTATTTTACCAATAATATTAATTATTATTATATGTTCGTTTCAAAGATTTTTTATTTTATTTTTTTTTTCAATTTTTTTTTCAATTTTATACCAACAAATTTTTACGTATATTATTATATCACATTCATTTGTTTGCTGTTTGACATTCTTGTTTTTCCAGCTTTAATACAAAACAATTTCGGTGTTTAAATATTTAAATATAACTGCTTCAGGGGCGTCATTTCAGATTTTGGTTGGGAGGGGGCGAACTTATGTAGTCTATGACTTAGCATGTAACATATAATATATATATATATATATATATATATATATATATATATATATATATATATTATTAATAAAGATCACGGCGTTTCTTACAGTACTCAATCTATATGATAGTTTCTCGATTCTTCGAATAATTCTCCGATCTACTAAACTTAACTTGTTAATGCTATTAACAAAATTCCTATTTACAGAAGATGTCATTATCTACATGTATGCATATAGTACTATTTCGACTACCTAGTCTCGTCAGTGCAACATTATAATAAATTATACATTTTTAAAGTTTTTATAATTTCAAAACTTTTAAAGTTTTAAAATTACTAAATTATATATCCTATATATATCCTTTTTACAAAGAATTTAAAATTAACATTTTTATAATTTAAAACAGAACATGAATTATTGTAGGAACAAATGAAATAAATTGTATAGCACTTGACATTTAAAAATTCAAAAAGCACAATATTTTGTATATATAATTATAATAAATTATATAATTTTATATAATTATTTTATAGTGTTTGCAATTTTTTCATAATAATTTTGTACAGCAAAAATTTAGAATTTTGATTTCTTGGGGGGAGCAATTGCCCCCCCTGCCTCCCCCCAAATGACGCCTCTGAACCGCTTATAAATGTATTTATTTATGTATTCACTATACTGAATCATTTTACTTAAAATTTACTAAAAAACAAATACTTTCTATGGTTTTAATCTTATTTGTACATTGAATGTACTGCAATTTTTTCAGCATGTTGGTTTTTATCTTCTAGTGATCGTGTGAAAAGTTTATTTGACAATGCACTCATAAAATGAGTGCTGATGGATTGATAGTTGTTTTCTCATCTAAGATAAGAAAATTTTATATTAGATAATTTTTAATAGGAGAATTGTCTGTATTATTGTATAGTTTAGTATTTTTGTTACTGGCTGGCATTCAAATAAACGTTCAACAAAGGTTTGCGTTTGAAGCAGTTGTGTTCATCTATCGGAAATCTTGAACATACGGAATAACGATAACTTGACGATAGTTGGAAGCTACAACACCGGTGTTGGAAACATAGAGATCTTTGAAGTTATAACATTGGTGTTGGTAGTTACGAGCGTTAAAGCTTACAACAATATTTAGGACGAAAGATATTTCCATCACAGAATGTACTTTATGAATTCTGTATGAACTGCAGTGCAGCTGGTGCCAGAGTTTATGCGCTTCTATCATATTTTTTTTCCTCCACATCTTTCATTATTGCTATCATTTTCTAATGATTCAATCTGATTGGCCGGTTTCATATGTGTGAAGGGAACACATGGCTATATTATTGTATGTTATTGTATATTTTTGTATATACGGGTATATATATATATATATATATGTCTGTGTGTGTGTTTGTGTGTGTGTCTGTGTGTGTTTTGTTGAAGTTTTTTTAAACAAGTATTGTAATATATAGGAAATTTTACTCAAAAATAATGTTTTGTGTGTGTGAGTTGTGTATGTTTGTGTATTGCATATGTGTACGTGCGTGCGTGCGTGTGTGTGTGTGTGTGTTTTGTTGGTGTGTATACAAATGTTACCGTGGAAAAATATTATGCCTAATATTATCTCACTTCAACTATGACTGAGAGTCATAAATAATTAAATGTACATTCTTTTTTAAAATAATAGATTTTTACACGTTCATCTGTTTCCACGTTTACACGTTCGTCTGTTTCCACGTTTACAGGTTCGCCAGTTCTCATGTTCACGCGTTCATGCACTATTGGACGGTGAAGTGTCCAATCAAGTCTTGTCATGCGATGTCTTTTGAATATTTATTTGTGTGTGTGTTTGTGTTTGTCTGTGTGTGAATGTTTATATGTGTTTTCAAGGACTATCTGTTAAATTTCTGTTTCAACTTGTCTGTATTATTTCTTCTCTGTCACCCTGACTTCTTTATTTCGTTTGGAATACAAATAAAATATCGTCGTTCAAGTGTATGTCTATGTGTTTGTTTGTATGTTTGTTTGTGTGCGTCTGTCCTACGATGTTCAATAAATGCTTGAAGCATAATTGTATTTTTAAACTAATCCCAATGTATGTGAGGTGACGACAAAGAAAGGTTGTTGATTCGGATGTTGTTTTCGGCGTTAGTTTCGTGAAATTATTTTTATGGCTCGTTATAAATGCCATTGTGGTCAACATGTTGCCAACCTTTTAGATTTGGATACCAATTTTGTATACGATTCTGGAGGTAGATGATGGTCATATCTAATGCTAATACTGGAAGGGGTGCTGGTGCTACTATATCTCGCACTGCTACTTCTACTACTATTACTACTGTTGCTAATAAAATTGTTAATAACGAAAATATGTTAATTGTTAAATATCGAATAGATCATACGAGACGACACGAAACGAGACGACACGAAACGAGACAAGACGACACGAGTCTACCGTTTCTTTTTTGTTGCAAATTGACAGATGACGCTTCTATTGATGAATCGATGTTAGTAATAATAATAATAATGATGATGTTAATAATAATGATGATGATGATGATGATGATGATGATGATGATGATGATGATGATGAAATGCAATAACATACTGTACGTCAAATAGTACTACTATTACTATTACTATTACAACAACAACTACTACTATTACTATACTACTAACTACAACGGCAACTACTAAAGCCACTTCTGCTGCTGCTACTATTACTACTACTACTACTAATAATAGTAATAATAACAATAACTTAATATTAAAACTTAATATTAAAAAAATAAAAATAATATGGACAGTTACAATGATTGAAACGAAAATGATCATGTTTCAGGGAATGTACCTGGTAAATAAATAATACACCACTGGGTTATATATATACATATATATATATATATATATATATATATATATATATATACGGTACTGTATAAGATATAGTCTTCTTCCAAGATACAAATATATATATATATATATATATATATATATATATATATATTTGTATATATATAATCGTGCTGGCGCGTGATATGACTCACTGATGCATATTATCACTAATTATGTCCCTTGATGTCGTTCAGTGCAAACGTTCAATGCATACATACAAGCATGCATACAAGCATACATACAAGCGTACATACAAGCATGCATACAAGCATACATCCATACATACATACATACATACATACATACATACATGCATGCGTACATTCTATTATACAAACATTCTACCGGTCACTTCTGTTTAAAAGTTTGATGGATCGAGATGGTTGGGTGAATGGATATTGATTGATAATTAAGTGGTTGGATGGGTAATTGGATAAACGGAAGGATCAATTCATAATTAGATAGTTGGATGATTAGTTGTATTTTTTTAGTTTTAATTGTGAGTTATCATATTTGCAGTTGCAGCGGATGTATTATTATCCTATTTTAAAATGTATCGAATTGTTCATGTGGGTTTAATTAATCCACTACCAGTTCTACGTCCTGCATCTTTTTTAAAATCATTTAACCCAATTTTATCACTTTTTTCTTTCTCTCGTTCTCTTTTTTCTTTCATCTAATCTCCCATTCCTCTCTCTCTTCTTTCTCTCTCTTTCTCTCCCTCTCTCCCTCTCTCTCTCTCTCTCTCTCTCTCTCTTTCTCTCTCTTACTTTCTCTGTCTGTCTATCTCATCCAATCTCTTTCTCCTTCTCACTTTTTCTTTTTATTTTCATGCACTTCTACCTTCTGGTAAATTTATGAGAAGTTGTTTGTTGGTGATCATATTTTTTCATTAGTTTCATGGCAGTAAATCTGTCCAAACTATTAAATTTTTTTATTCTATAACGTGGCTGGTTATAAAACATTTTACGAAAAACAATTTTCAAAGGTTAAAGATAAACCGAAACTTTAATGATAAATTTTCAGAGTTTTCAGCAAAATGCATACGAATAATGAATAGCATATGAGGGAATGCTTACTCATTTGCAGTGGTTCATATGTAGTTATTTTTATTACTGAATAAAAGTTTATTTCAATTCAATATATGCCGCAAGCTGAGAGAAGCCCTCTTGTAATCGGTAACCAAATCCAAACTGTGGATGTATTTTGAAATTCGCAGCGCTGTTGGAAAATTATACCTTCAGGTACGTTATGTTAGGCTATTTCATGCCATGCCATGTCATGTTACATTATGTCATGTCATGTTACATTATGTCATGTCATGTTACATTATGTCATGTCATGTTACATTATGTCGTGCTAAACAAATTAAACAAGTATATGTTAGTTGTAAAGAAGCAAACGCGCAGTCTTTTTCTTTTTAACTTTATTCTACCGTTTTTGTATTGAAGATGATTCATCAGTATCTGCCTGCCTGTTGATTGTTGTTTTTTAATATTTCTACACGCACAGTGACACTGACGATGCAGGTAGAGGAAGTTGCTTATTTCTCATTACGTCATGCCTACGCCATTTGAAGTTCCTTGGCTTATTTTTCAAATTGTGTTTCTGAATATTTTTTGACATCTACTTAGTTACTTAGTTAGTTACTTTACATAGTTATCCTTATCATTTTCTTTATCACCATTATTATTATTATTATTATTATTATCATAATAATTATTATTATTAATATTATTATAGGTATTGTTAAATGCTTCGTTCGCATCGCACATTGTTATTTTTTATTTTTGAACAAACCAAATTTCCGAACTACCACCACCACCGATCATTC